AGAATTTCTACTTCACTTTCATTTAGATTTATTTCTGCTAATTTTATTAATGCTGCTTTTTTTTTCTTTTTAGTAAACAAATTTTCTGCTAAAAAATTCTTTTATAAAAATTTTTTTTAATTTTTGGAGAATTGATCTAAACCCAGAATTGTAGATCTCTGTATTATGTATAAACAAACAAAACAAACAAACAACACATATACAAATAAACAAAACAAAACAAACAAAGCCAATTGTCACATCCTAATATAAACAACAAATATTATATACTAGAAAATTCGAGTAGAAAGTTGATTAACATTTTAAAAATACAAATACAGATATTCAATCATATAGTAACAAGTATATGAATTTTTGTGCAAGTTTCTTTTTTCTTTAGACTACTTTGTACTGTTTTTTATATCTAAAGTGCTTTATTTTGGTTATTTTTCTTCTGGCTCAATTTGGTACAAGTGATTAGCAAAGAGAGTTGAATGGCAATGTTTATAATATTTAATATTAATATAATTTTTTAAATAATTATTAATTTATATTTTTTTTAATTCTTTTTTACAAATAAAATAGCTAATAAAATTAGATATTAGAGTTGGTTTTGGTATAGTAGATTTAAATAAAAATATTTTTTTTGTATTTGAAATAGTTATAATAATAAGTGTAGTAGTTATTAAAATAGTAATAATTAAAGTAAATGTAAGAAATTTTTTAGATAATTATAGAAAAGTAAAAGTTGTTGTTATTAATATTTTAATAGTTGTAGTTAGTATAGAAGTTGTAGATATAGAAGTTATTATAGTTGGTGTAGATATAGGTATATTAGTTGATAAAAGATTATTATTATTTGGCATATCTTCATTATTTTTAGATAGTAGTATTGAAGTTGTTAAATTTGGTTTATTATTTGTATTTTTTTTAAATATTATTAATTAAAAATTTAATTTTAAATAATATATATATAATTTTTACTTTTTATTATTATTTCTTTCGTTATCTTCATTTAATTTTTTTTTTAAATCTTTAATTTTATTAATTAAATCTCTAAGTGCTTAAGCATTATTAGTATTTAAATCTATATATCTAAAAGCTTGAATTAATTTAAAAATAATTCTAGCTAGTCCTCTAAAAAATCCTTTATCTCTACTAGGACCAAATATAATTTCTATATTATAACATGAAAGTTTATCTTCATCACTTATATATTTTAAATATCTAAGTGGTTCAAAAATATTGATTGCTAAAATAAACCAAAAAAATCCAGTATTAAATTGAACAAATACTGGTACATTATTACTTAAATAAGCAATACACCATTGTTTTTCAATTTTCCAACTAAAACAAATTGTTTGTTCAAAATTACATTCTGAATATTCAATTATGTGTGTTTTATTATAAACAACATTAAAATTTTTTTTAACTGGACTATTAACTAAATCATTTAAATCTTCAAATACTCAACTCCTCTAATATACAATACAACTCTCTTATCCCTACTATTCTTGGTATATATCTAAGATTAATATATC